GGGCTCACTGCAGGCTGTCAGCCTAGCCAAAATTCAGCTCCCCGGGCGCCCAAACCAGAGGCTGCCAGTTACATGTTAACATCTGAAAATACATGGAATATTTTTATCTTCAAAAAATGAAGGCATGGAAAAGGGCTCAAAGCCTCTTTGCTGACAGAGCAGAAAAGACTAGATGTCTAACTCATTAGCCTCTATCACTTTGGTTTCCCCCACCCACTTTGTGCCCCCACAGTCAGGAACTGCTGTGTAGTATGCAATGGCTTTTTTCCCACCTTCCTCGCCACAACTGGCCTGTGGTCAGCCCTCTCTTTGGCTGGCAAGAACTAGGGATAAAGGTGAAGTACAGGGCATAGATGGCTTCCTTCTCTCCTCCCATGGACATACAAGTAGCTCCGTGGACTCAAGACAGCTCCATAGCGGGGACATATGAAGCAGCCTAGCTGACAAGTCCTACCTCCAAAGGGATATAGCATCCTACCACAGTCTCTCTCTGTGCCCACATGAGCTTCTTGCTCTCAGTACAAGAAGGTGGTTGCATCCTGTCCCCATGGAGCCTGGGCTGGGCTGGGGTGGATGCATTTTCAAAGCAGAGGAAACGCCAGTATTCTTGCAACCAGACGGTCTGAGCCCGAAGTATGTGAGACAGGTGATCTATCTGGTGTCTGTGAGATGAGAAGAAAGCTTACCTGGTTGGTCATAGGATGCCCATGCTAGGTTTTCTCCACATTTTCCATTAGCAGACTCAGAGCTGTGCTTGAGGACCCTCGTGGTGGCCAGTTCTTCTGCATACCTAGAGAAGGAATCCACACATTGAGTCACAGACCACAGCCACAGCGAGCAGAGAAGAGGAATAGATGGGGATGCAAGGAAGGAATTTTGCTGGAAGATGATGGTTAAAGCCAAGTTACTCAGCTGTAAAGCCATGGCTGCTTTAAGCTTACATAGACCAAAGGAGTCAGGCAAAGGGAAGGCCTAGAGGCCTTGTCCCTGCCCATGGCAGGGGGGTTGGAACTGGATGATCTTTAAGGTCCCTTCCAACCCAAACCATACTATGGTTCTATGGTTCTTTGTTGTTCATGAGCACCAGTGTCACTGCTGAGAAGGGCCTAGAAGAAATCAAAAGGCAGATCTAACCCCACCATGTTCTGCCCAGCACCTGGACATCCACTGGCCATCCTCAGCTGCAGCTCCTGGGGAAAGTGAAGCGCCCTACAGGTGTTGCCTCCTGACATGGCTAGGTCCCTTGTGAGAGTAACTTAAATGTTTGCTGCGAGACAGAGAAAAGTGGGGATTCTTTCTTGAAACAAAGGGTTAACAGCCGAAAAAGGACACAGCACATTAAACAG